TTTGGGAGACGATGGGGACACGGGATGAATTCCAGAAGGGACTGGCTGGTAGTGTAGAATCCTCCAGGACACTGCTGAGAGCGTCGAAGACGGACAGGTAGACGTACAAGCAGCAGGGGACAGGGTGATTGAAGGGTGGGAGTCCATAGTGAACGCAACGGCAGAGAGAGAGTAGTCTAGTGGGAAAGAAGGTGGTACGATGTGGGGTATCGGTTAAGTGGTGGGATGACGAGCTGAAGGAAGAAATAGGGGAACGTATTGAAGTCTTCAAGCAGTACCTGAGTGAGGCGTCTGAGGAGAGTTGGGAAAAGTACGGGGCCAAGAGAAAACAGGTGAAGGGACTAGTGAAAAAGAAGAAAAAGTGTATTCGGGACGAAGTAGTGCAGAAGGCCAACGGAGGCCTGGAGGGAAACGTCAAGCAGATGTGGGAAGGGATTTGTGGAATGGCAAAAACGACCGCGCAAGGGGGGGATACAGGGGTAGCAACTTTGCGAGGTGTGAACGGTGGATTAGTCAGCAGTGGGAAGGGAAAAAGGGAAGTTCTAGCAGGACACTACAAGAGACTTGGAGTGCCCTCGGAGAATGAAGCTTTTGACCAAGCGTTTAAGAAGGAGGTGGACGCATGGGCCCAAAAAGAAGAAGAGACATCGAAGGCAGACGTTGGGAACGTAGAACTAGAAAAGGAGTTCACTGAGGACGAGGTTGAGGCGTGTGTGAACAAGCTGAAGTGCCACAAAGCAGCAGGAGCGGATGGGATAGTCAACGAGTTCATGAAGTTTGGGGGGATAGGGATGATCCAGCTGATGGTATAGTTGGGTGTGGAAAAACGCGTATACGCCGAGTAGATGGAGGGCAGGAGTGGTTGTGAACTTGCTTAAGAAAGGAGACAAGACTGACCCAGGAAACTACAGGGGGATCACACTGTTGAACACAGTAGGAAAAGTGTTCTGTAAGCTGCTGAACGATAGGATAGTGGGAGTATTGGAGAAGGAATAGTGTATTAGTGAGGGCTAGGCAGGTTTCCGAAATAAGAGGGGGTGCGTAGACCACGTATTCACGGTAGGGAGAATCATCCAAGGTAGAAAGAGGGCGGGAAAGCCGACGTACTGCTTCTTCCTGGACGTGAAAAAGGCATACGACACCGTGTGGAGAAATGGGTTGTGGAAACAACTGTCCAAATACGGGATCAAGGGGAAAATGTGGAGAGTGCTGAAGAAGATGACAGAGTAGACGAAAAGCGCGGTCATGTTAGACGGAGAACTGTCAAAATTCTTCGACATTGAGCAGGGGGT